AGTGTGTGTGTTGGGGGGGGAGGGGGAGTCTGTGGGGACCACCACCTCCGCTGACCAGTTACAACTGAAATTTAAGATACATTTGGGGCACTGAAACAAGGGACTTTGAGCTTGTTTTTTCATAAACTAAGAAGAAAGAAGGTTTTATTTCAGCCTGGGAGGGAAAAAGGGGGAAAACCCTACCCTTCTCATAGAACTGAAAAGTGCATGGCTTGGGCCAAGATGTGTCTTGATTTCAATACTCTCCAGACAATTCTGGGAGTGACAAATGTGAGTTAGACCTAAGCTCCAGGTTGTACTTAGTGTGCTGAGTGCACATACGTTAAGACCGGAGAATCCTTACACCTGCAGCATAGGAGCAGTGCTCGGTGCTAGTTGTCAGGAATAACTGGTGGGGACTGTCTTTGGAGGGAGAACAGGAGATAAGGAACAGGATCTCTGTTGTCTGAGCTCCAGTCCAGGAAGTAAGTAACCCTTTGTCACTCCCTAAACATTCAGGTGGTTTCAAGCAAAAGTGAAGGAAAAAGAAAACTAGTTCTGGTTAGGAGTTTGCTGCATGCAAGGCAATGGCTCGTTTAATTGGAGTAAACAGTCTACAAAATGACGTATCTGAGAAATAGCACTTTCTTATTTTCAATAATTCAAAATAGTTTATGAATCTAAGTCTTATTTCTCTCCACTGGGATGGAGAGAAAATTTTATATTAGTCATTGTTGGGTTTCTTCTCCTCTCTTTCCAAGCTGCAGGCTTCATGGTTGGGTTCTGTGGGCTCACATGAAACCAGGGAATTTCATGGGGTTAGACTTAGAGGATTCGTGGGGGAATGCTGTGATGTTCATTGTTTGTGGCTCTTCCCAGTTTTCACAATGAGAACTGGTAACCCCGAGGGCTGTGGACCTGGAGATGTGTTTTACTTGGTTGGCACAGTGTTTAGATATTTTGTTTTTGTAATTTTTTAAAAAATGTATTTTAATTTATTTCAGAGAGGAAGGGAGAGGGAGAGAGAGATAAAAATATCAATAATAAGAGAGAATCACTGATTGGTTGCTTTCTGCATGACCCACACAGAGGATTGAGCCCATAACCCTGGCATGTGACCTCCTGGTTCATAGGTCGATGCTCAACCACTGAGCCATGCCAGCCGGGCCGTTTTTGCAATGTTTTAGGTTAGCCCACACTTTCCCTTCACTCCCATCACTCCTTCTTGTCTTATAGGAGGCTGTTGCACTTATTTACATCATCTCCCTGGCCCCTGAAGGTATTGAAGGCAATCGCAAACAAGAGTTTTCAAACTCAGTTTCTATCAGTTTTTACCAAATGAAAACAAAAAAAACTGTACATCAAAGTTCTCAAGCATTCTCTCTTGGTCTGAACTATACTTTATTAGCAACTTGTGTGTTTGGGGTTAAAAATCTCCTTTTGTAAGTGGGGTTTTTTTTCTTTTATAAAAGGATGTACAAATAGATGGTGCTTAGTTTTACATTTGTGTCGTTTTGTTTTTAATTTTGAATGACTTTGGCGTCATTAAAATTGGCGATCCTATGTTGGTCCACATTGGTCTGGGAAATCTAAAATACTGAGAGCCACTTGATTTAAAGAATATGAAAAATATAGCGAACATTTTTATGGAGGATCTGTTTGTTATAATGCTTCAAAATCCTACCCTAGGGTTATTTCAGAAATTATTCCTCCACTGAACTCCCCACATTAGGGCCAGCATCGCAGTTAAGAACCTGGAACAAACCTGAGCTCCAGTCTCATCCTTGCCTCTTCTAACTGTGGGACCCTGGCCGTGTTATTTAACTTAATCTCAGTTTTTTTTCACAGGTGTTGTAAGTAATAGGTTTAATTTGTCTAGTGTATAAGCTACTTGGATCAAGCTAATTTTTTCACTTTCAAGATAATGTTCCTTATACATAAGCCAAGTCAAAACTTTTACAGAGGTGTATGTCAGTTGTATCTCAAAACTGGAAAATATATAGTGTTCTTCATTAAATACTAGACAGTTTTACAACTGTTGTACTCTTCTTTGCCACATGACATTTCCGTTTTAACTGAAGCAGTATGACTCAAGCTTCTTCATCCTTATCTCCCATTAACTGTCACCCATCGTTATTATTCTCAGAACCCTTTAAGGAAGTAAAGGTACAAACTGACCGTAAAAAATGTGGTTGGAGGCTGGTTTCTCACATTCCTCTTTTGGAATTTTAAGGAAGAAAACGGCCATTGCATGCTGGGTTGCAAGCCCATTGTAATCTTGCATGAGAGAAAATAAGTCATTTACAAAATGTTTGTATTGTTACTAGAATTTCTCTTCCTGAGAAGATTTATATGTGAGTCTCAAGCCCTCTTGGCACAGAAGCTTTTGTAGCTCTGGGTCATTGTTAAAATGTCTCCAAAGCATGAGGGGGACGTTGTAAAATTCATTTTGCTAGTACCCTAAGACCAGAGGGCTAGACAGAAGAATAAAGGGGCAGAAAGGCAGGAGGGTGGGGGTGGAAGGAGGGGCAGAAAGAAAGGAAGGAAGACAGTGAGAGGAGGAAGTGGTAGAGAATTGGTGAGCAGCTTTTTTCTGGCTTCCAGTTCCCCAGCCGAAAGGACAAAGGCAGAGTGGCTGCTCCTGTGTGACCCTTTGTCTCTTGTGGCAAGGACAGCTTTTATTTCTTTTCACAGGAAACTATTTCATTGGAGGTGTTTTTCCAAAGCAGGAAAAAAAAGTTTCACCAAAAAGTTAGGTGTGTAAGGATAAATGTGTATGTCCTACCAAGAAAACACTTGCCTCCCCAAAATGTTAAGGAATGAAAACATATATTATGCGAAATATGTAAATAAATATTGCTCCATTCATTTCCCCTAGTAGGTTATTACAGGATGACTTAAAAGTACTAAGTAAAGGTACTTGATAAACAAAAGTGATTGCCTATGAATTAAGTAATACTTGGGCAGGACTTGATTCTATCACATGATTATATACTTATTATTTAGTGTTCATATTTAGTATTTTTATAGAGCTCTGTGGTGGCAGGGACAATGCCTTTCATTTCTTTGTTTTGGTTGTTTTTTCATCCCCATTGCCACATCTGGCAAGCCTATGGCAGGTGCTCAATAAATGGTGAAGACTCTAACTCAAAGAAGTTATAATTTCTGGTGGCTAGTAATTGGGCAGAGTCTTTTATTTATTTAATATATTTTTATTGATTTCAGAAAGGAAGGGAGAGGGAGAGAGAAATAGAAACATCAATGATGAGAGAGACTCATTGATCAACTGCCTCCTGCATGCCCCACACTGGGGATCGAGTCCACAATCTGGGCATGTGCCCTGACCAGGAATCAAACCATAACCTTCTAGTTCATAGGCCCATGCTTAATCACTGAGCAACACTGGACGAGTTGGGCAAAGTCTTTTAAATAAAAAAATATCTTGTGCTATGAGCAGGCAGTCTCACTTCTAGGTCTCCACCCTCCAAAAATTATGACATGCATGGATAAAGGTATATGTGCAATATTCTTTGCAGCCCTGTTTGTAAAACCAACATTGGAAACGCCCGTCACCAGCAGATAAATGGTCAGATAATCTAGGGGCCCTCCCAACAATGGAATACAATGCTTCTGCTTAACAGAATAAGGGACTGACCTAGATTTATGCCCATGTCATATCACATGTTAAAAGCAAGTTGCAGAATAATATACACAGCATGATTCCATTTGTGTGTGTGTGTGTGGGGGGGGAGCATGTGTTTTATGAGATAGCTACAAAATGAGGGAAAACTTTAAAAGGGGTGTTCACCGTGTGAACAAGTGTTAGCAATGAAGAAGGGATCAGAAGGACTCCCTCCACTTCTTTATATATAGAATCTGTAAAGTAGTAAGATTATGGGAGGTTTTTCTTTGGAGGGAAAATTTCAACTTAAAAATAAATTAATTCTCTACTGATGAAAAGAATGAAAAATATTTTTAATATACAGGGCTTTGCTTGTGAACAAGCAGAGTTAACTTCAATCAAAGGGCGCCCAAAATTACGGCTTTCTTCAATGTGTCTTTAGATTTGAGATTGTTCTATTATAGCAAAAGAATTTTCATGTGTTATGGCACACTATATCATCTATTTGAAATAGTAACATGGCCCTAGTCAGTTTGGCTCAGTGGATAGAGTGTCAGCCTTTGGACCACAGGGTCCCAGGTTCAATTCCGGTCAAGGGCATGTACCTGGGTTGCAGGCTCCTCTCCGGCCCAGGCCCTAGTCAGGGCTCATGCAGGAGGCAACCATTTGATATGTTTCCCTCACATTGATGTTTCTCTGTCTGTCTTTCCCTCTCTCTCTTCCACCCTCCCTAAAAACCAACAGAAAAATATCCTTGGGTGAAGATAGATAATAAAAAGAAATAGTAACGTGTATCCCATCCATTTGTTTGTATTAGCTGGTGTCATGTACAGCTGTGCAGTTTCTGCCCTTCACGCAGTATTTGGGCCAGCTGCTGTCCTGGCCAAGAGGTGCACCCCAATCAGAAGCTGTTTGAGACAAGGAAGGAGGTTCTGCAACTGAGTCCAAAAGTTTGGCAGTGGCCATTGGCAGCCCTGGCATCAGTGACGTCGGACTGTGCTTGAGAGTGAGCAAGACTCCTCATGTAGTATAATCAGGCTTTTTGCCGCGGGGGCTTTTCTTCACCACTCATCGCGGACCCTCTGTGGCCTCCAACCGTGTCTTGGATCAAAAAGACTCTTGTTCCTCAAAGCAGAGGCTGAAGGCTCCGTTCTCCCCAGTCACCCTTCCCAATTCTCTATGCTGACCTGCCTTCCATTCCCAGGCAAGCTACCTCCTCTCTCCACCCCCACTTCTGAACCTGCTCAAGACTAACTCTACCTTGAAGCTCTTCTAGAACCCCCTCCTACATATTCACTCCTTAAAGGCCTCTAGAAATGCTTCCTTTGTCAGGGACCATTGACTGGTGAATTAACTAGCACACAACGAAAGAAAAACAGAAGCCAGCAATTGCCAATAATACAGACGAAATATTTTATTAGGTTCCAAACTGAGAAAATGGTAGCGTGAACCGATTTCAGTATAAATCCACCACCCTCCTCAGGGAGCCAGCCTTAGCATCCGTGGCCCCCCAGTCGTGGGAGCGCCTGTACTCCTGGGGCCTCAGCAGGCAGTGCTGCCCCCGGGGTAGTTGGGCATCTCGTAGAGGACCCAGCAGCCCTCCAGCACGTGGAGGGAGCAGACCTCAGCCCGGTGGAAGCGGTCCTGGATGCAGGAGCAGTCCTCGCTCAGCTCCACCATGTGGCCTTGGTGGTCCTCTCTCTCATACAGCCACAGCCGGTGGGAGCCTGTCTGCTCCACCCACAGAGGGAGAAGCAAGCAAACAGATGAACTTGGTGGGTTGGGGCGTGGGATTGTCCATGTAAAACCTGAGGCTCAAAGATTGCTGTGAATGCAGTGCATGGTTTGTGTCCTACTCACATTAACAAATGTTTGCATGCCTGTTCTCTATTTCAGATCCAGGAGATGAAATTTTTAAGAGATCCAATGTTTGGGTTAGAATCCATCTAGAGCTCAAATATCTTGTTTTCTTAACTCCTAATTACCGAATTCCTTGATTCCTAGGTGTTAAACCCATATTAGGGGGATAATGTAAAGTGTTTGACTAGTATTCTTTTAATGAGTGTTCTCCCCCAAATTTATATACATATAAATTTACCACTAAAGTAGGGTTTTAAAAATCACATACTTCAGTGAAAATTAGTTTAGTCACTTGAATCCTAATTTGACTGATTTTCCAAATTAAGAACAACTGCTTTTCCCAAAACTTGGACATTACCACTGAATAGCCTACACTAACAATAGAGTTTTCCATTTCTACTAGTCTACAGTGGAAACTATTTCGTTCCTAATCAACTCCCTTACTGTAGGTATAATTTGTTAGAAATACTGCCTTCTCTGTCCAACCAATTTCCCATTTGCAAGCTTTGCTTTATAACCCACTATGCTATTACATTTGTTGCAGACAACTTTTGATTGACCTATTACTAACAAAAATTAAAAACAAAACAGACTCTTTCCCTAAGTGGATTCTTCCCCATATTCTGTGCTGTTTTTGTGCGAGTATCTATTTGAGCTTAGGCAAGTACCTAAAGCCCACTTAATCCTTGGGTGCTTTTACTTTTTTAAAAATAATTTTTTACTTATTTTTAAATGGGTGGGGGGGAGAGGAAGAAGGGAGAAAAAGAGAGAAACATCAGTTTGTGCCCTGACCAGGGGTCATACCTGCAACCTTGGCTATTGGAATGATGTTCTTACTAACTGAGCTACCTGGCCAGGGCAATCCTTGGGTGCTTTTAAAGGAAACCTCCTTCACCCTAACGCCCCTCAATAATACTTGAGGCCCCCAGGCAGCGTGATCGCCCTCAGGCCACACTCACCTGGGGGATGAGGCGGCAGGAGCGGACCACGTCGCTGAGGCCCAGCCACTGCTGGTGGTCAGGGTAGTCGCCGCGCCGCAGGAAGTACTGGGGGCCCTGGTAGTCGGGGCGCTCATAGAGCATCCAGCAGCCGCTGTCCACGCGGATGGAGTTGCAGCGGCTGAGGTAGGGCTGCAGGTTGGGGTGGTCGCTGCTGCACTCGAAGCGGCGGCCCTGGAAGCCGCGGTCCTCGTAGAAGGTGATCTGCAAGGAAGAACAGCTCCGAGGGAAATCATTTGCCCCCAGTCGGTCTTGTATAGGGGGTTTTACGGCCATCTTATTTCACTGTGTCCCGCTCACCTTCCCCATGGCTGGTTGGCTGGGATGCAGCGAGGTCAGTGGGTGGGTGGCAGCGGGCAGCGAGTGGGTGGGTGGCAACGGGCAGCCGGTCTACATCGCCGGCGGCTGCTGTGTTGGCAGGAGCAGCACAAAGGGGCCTGGGCGAGGAGGGGATTTCATGGATCCCTCTTCCATGCTGCGTTCAGGGGAAATGCCTGTGGAGTTGCCCTCATTCTCTGGCATATTCCAACGCTGTCCTGTACGTGTCCTATTGGGCACCTACAGTGGCTTTTATTCGGTTCCCAGTGTTTTCTAAACTTATCAGCGCATCAGTCTGAACTTTTGACCTGAAATGCTTGTGTCTCCACACATAATTCAGTTGTACCCCATGTATTTCCTGGGGGAAAATCTATACCTTTCCAGAAGAGCCACAGAATTCCAGAGGGGCCCTGGGGAAGCCGAACGCCCAGCACCCACTAATTTCCCTGGTCAGAGACCCTCTAACTTAAATTCTCTTTTTGTCCACGACGGGCCAGTCGAGTACAGGACACGAATCTGGATGCTGGTCTTTGCCAGTTTTGACAGATGCTTTAAGGCAGAGCGACTAACTTCCCCTTTGTACTTCATGTAACTAGAAATCGGTGGCTGGTAGTCAACTTGTGATAAGGATCAGGGGAAAGGCTTTTATGGTCACTGGGTCCATGACTGGGAAGTTTATTGCTTTATAGATTGCTTCCCAGGGCTGGGGGAGGGAGCAAAGCGTGGTGGACTGAGAATGTCCACTTAGTAGCCACATAAGCTCTCAGAGAATGAGTTATTTTCTAGTACTTACCTCATGGTACATAGTATGAAGGACAAGAAAGAAATAAAGAAAGAAGCAAAAGAAATAAAGAAAGAAAGAGGCCGGCTGGTGTGGCTCAGTGGTTGAGCATCGGCCTATGAACCAGGAGATCCTGATTTGATTCCTGGTTGGGTCACGTGCCCAGGCTCTGGGCTCCATCCCCAGTGCGGGGCATGCAGGAGGCAGCCAATCAATGGTTCTCTCTCATCATCTATGTTTCTAATCATGATATTTTATTGAAAGAAAGCCTACACCCATTTTCTTGTAATGCTTTATTGAAAGGATTGCACATGTTTCCATGTGACAGCATAGTAAAGGCAAATGATAGATTAATTTTATTTGGGATTGAAAGTTTGGAAAACTGCCTCTTACTCCACCATTCTGCATATTCAATGCTACACATTTGTAAAATGTGCTAAAAGCCAGCCTGCTCTGACATAGAAATACTATATATTCTTGGAAATCTCCAACTAACAGTCTTCCACTCACATTGAAGTAGCATAAAATACACACATTTTAAAAACCCAAATGTAGCTGTATAATATGATTCTACGAAAAGAATGTTCAACGTCCAAAAATAACACTGCAATGCAGTTTGCATCAAAGCTAACTGTAAAGAAAAATATGCTGGCAGGAGTTGCAGTTCTGAGATGATGTTTCTTTCCTGCCCCAGAGACTTTATTGTGAAGTCCCAGGGTGCAAGTCCAAGTTTCTAAGTGACCTGCAGAATAAAAAGAGGATTTGGGTATCAAGCATGGACACAGACAGTAGCTTTCAATCTATAGGGAGTTAAGGTCAAATATCAGATACTAAGTTATTGACCATGATGGGTTAAGATGAATGTAGGTACCAAAGAATTTCCATGGAACTGTTCTGAGACATTTGGAAATTGAGTTATATTTTTCAACTAACTACAATAAATTCCACACTGTATCCTCTACAGAAGGAAAAAAAATGTTTTAAAAACATTATTGGGTCAATTGACAAAATTATATATAGACAGTAGATTGGATCAAAGTATTAATGCTAGATTTTCTGAAGTTGATAACTATACTATGGTTATTCAAGAGAATGACTTTGTTCTTAGGAAGTACACACTAAATTATATGGGGTTAAAATGAGATGGTGATGTAACTGCAAATAGATCAGAAAAAATATGTATCTATGCCTATACACAAAGAGAAAGAGATAGGAACAGAGGAAGATAGAGAGGCAGAGAGAAAAATGATATAGCTAATAGAGCAAACAATTAACAATTGGTGAATGTGAGTCAAGTGTATACACAGGTTTTTTGTCGTACTCTAGCAACTTTTCTCTAAGCTCAAAATTGTTTCCAAATAAAATAAAATAGTTAAAGTAATACTTCATTTGATGGACCACACCTGAAGCAAATCATTTCTTTGCCCTTTAGCGGCTGTATATTATTCTTACAGCATGTTACTTTGAATTTCTTGTATAGTGGTTTGAATTTATACTAAAATTGCTCCCTCTCCATTTCTGGTAGGGGAGGTGTTGAAGTCTACAACTAGGAGAGTGAAGTCATCTGCTTCTCCAGCAGTTCTATGAGTTTTTACCTTATGGAGTTTGATGCTCTGTTGTTCAGTGACTACTTAAGGAATCTTATGTTTCTTGGAGAATAAACCTTTATCATCATGCACGTCCCTTCTTTATCCCTGATAACATTCCTTGCTTTGAAGTAGCTCTGTCTGAAATTAATATAGCTACTTTTGCTTTTTTTTTTAAATTAGTGTTAGCTTGGCACATTTTTATCTATCCATTTACTTTTCATCTGTGTGTGTCTTTATATTTCAAGTAGGTTTCTTATACACACCATATAATTGGCCTTGTTTTCTGATCCACTCTGACAAGCTCTGTCTCTTTTCTTCTTCTTCATAAATTTCATTATGAAATTTTTCATACAGAAAAGTTGAAAGAATTGAACCATGAGATACATATGCCCATAACCTGCTAATTCTGTAAACAGTGTTCCGTGTTTGCGTTAACATACATCAGGGCAATTCTCTATCCCTCTACCCATCCATCAGTCCACCTTATTCTTGGGGGCAGCAGTGTACCCTGTGCCTTCCCCTTTCTTTCATTTCCAAGAAGAGTTGCTGATTTTCCAGTCTGTTCAGCTTTTTACTTGTTGGAGTGGGGTGTCAATATCCAAGCACCTTCTGTGTGGAAATGGGAACCAGATCCCTCAGACTGTCCTCTCACCATCCTTCTTCCCTCCCATGATGCTGTGAGTTCCTCCGGAGTGGCAATAAGAGGGCACGTGTGTTATTGCCTGTGACAGTCCTGGCACTTTCTAAGTCCTTCCATGTCTATTAACAGTCCCTGTAACAACCCCATGAGGTACATACTGTTATCATCCACCTTTTATAGACGAAGCACAAGAGATTCACTTAATAATTCACCCAAGTTATTAAATGGAGGAACCAGATTCAAATCTAGTTATCTGACTCCGAATCCACACTCTTAATCACTAGAGTATGCTGTTTTCTGTCCATTCCAAATTCATGTCCTAGAACTCTGCCCAATATTGACACTTTCCTAGGATATGATGTTGCTCATACCCATCTCTATTAATAAATGAGGTACTAATACCAATACAGTCTAAAAGAAATACTTAAAACTGTTTTCCAGAATACCTGGATTTTTAATAAATAATTTCTCCTTTTCCCTTACTTTATGAAAAAAGGCAGTGGCTGGAAATATATAGAAAATCCTGACAAAGACATTGTTTCATCTTAAGGTTATAAAATTGTTTATCAGTTAAAATACATGATATAATTATCAGTAAGCTATAAAGAAAAAGACTAAAAAGCTCAAATATATAAAATGAAAAACTACTTTAAACAATAAACCGTGAAAGAATATTTCTCATACATTTATAAAATAATTATTTCTTTAATAAAGATATTTGTTTATTTAATTTATTTCTTGACTATTTCTTAAAAATCAGTAGTAGGACATACAATGTGTAGTAATATTTGAATATCACAAGAAATATTAACAGTTGTTATTTCTAAGGAGTAGGAAAGGGGTGTGGATTTCACTTGTAATTTTTGTATTGTTTGAAATTTTTACTATAAGCACATACACACTTACTTAAACCCATAATATAACAGCTGATTAACTTGTGAATTGCGTTTCTCAAAAGCTAAAAGATAATAGTGGTTAGTATTTATTTAGGGTTACTCTGTACGAGCACTGTTCTAACCTCTTAACATGTATAATCTCAGGTAATCATCCCACAAGCTTAAGAAGGCGATACCATCATTCTTCCCATTTTGCAGGAGAGAAAACTAAGGAACCGAGACGCTAAGTCACTGACCTGAAGTCACACAGATGGTAGGTAGTAAGCTTTAGATTCAAACCCAGAACATCTCATTCTAAGGGCGAGACTTTTAACCTTAATTTAAGTAAAGTACTCCCCAACATCTGGTATCATTTTGGTCCAATTTGTGTTTTTAGACCTACTTTGCTCTTTGGTTGTGTGTCCAAAGGTAACTTTTTTGATGATTTCTGTTCCGTGGCATTTGCTTCCCTCCTAGAGCTGCTGGTGGCATTTTTATTCGTTGCTTCCCTTCTTAGCTTGACACCTAGAGACACATGTAGGAACAACAATAAAAACACCTTTTAAAAAATGAGTCCACCCACAGTTCTAGATCTTTCCCTTCATAGGTGTTTTGCTCCCATTAACAAGGCGTCTAAGAAATACTTCCCTGGTTTCGACAGTTGAGGGAAATCAAGCTGTAAGTACTCCTGGTTCTTTTGCATTCAACCAGAGAGCTGTTCTTACCATGCCACCTCTGACCTGACGTGGTGAGTCCCCCTCCTGTGTTAAACTTCTCTAACGGATGGAAGTAAGCAGGCTTACTCTGTTTGCGGGCATATTCTGCTGCTTTGGGTGCTGTTAACATGGCAAAAGGGTGCAAGGAGAGGCGGGAAGGTGGAGCTCGGGGAACCTGAAAGGCAAACAGTCCTCCTTTGAAACGCTGCACACACTGTGCTGCTACCACCTGCTGCCTATGGCACTTGGCCTGCGTACCCACCCCACAGTCCTTAGACGTTCCTACTGGTCCCCTGGCAGCCCAGGTTTCATTGTCAGGCACATTCACACGTTGTCTTCTACTCCCAGGCTGGGTCCCTCCTGCCTGGAATCACACTGATACTCCCCAGAGTTCCCTTTACCTGGAGTGGCTACTTCCTTCCTCTCTGCCCAGGGGC